TTAAATTCAAGTAAAGAATATTATAAATTGAAAAACATTTCATAGAGATTGCTCACCACATGATTGCTTATAGAAGCTGCGTACAACATTGCAGATCTCCTAAGCTGAGAAACATCAGAGGTGGCCTGTATTTTTGAGTCCATCTTGTCTAGTTCAGAGGTGACATCACTGCATCGCTGCTCAAGCAAAGCAAGAGTTGCTGGTGCGGCTTCTTTATACCTTTTCTGAAGTTCAGATTCTAAATATTCTCTCAAACAGCTAAATCCAATATACGGTCTGAACTTTTCTTCATCAAAGCCTCCCTTAACACCCTCACGCAGATGACGGAGAACTTCAGAGTCTACTTGAGATATCTGCCTGCGGAATTCATCATTTGAAATTGTATTCCTATCCTTTGGCAGTGCAACAAAGAATGGGTGAGTGTTATCGCCAAGATAACCACTTGCACTCAAATAGCGGTCCACTTCCCACCGGTCACTAAACTCCTGCATATATTGAATTCTTATAATCAAAATGAATATTCAAACAACATAGAATCTACTTCAACAGAGCCAATTCACATTGCAACATGAAAAAAAGGCTTTTCACTCACATATTCCAATTTTCAGTAACATTATTAACCATCACATGAATGTGCTTATTAAAGATTCTAAACAACTATCATACCTTTAAACGATTATCAAACTTGGAGACCACAATAATTGTCCGTCTAAAAGTTGGATCAATATCCCGAATAGCATCCAACCACAAAGATGAACACCACTCTACACTACTCTGTTGAAGAAACAGGAGGATACGATGTGGAGGACTAGCCAGTGACTTCACCATAGAAAGAATTTCTTCAGGTGTTCTCTCAGGCTCTCCTTTCTTCGCCTGTGAACAATATTTCAAATCCTTAACACAAACCAAAATAGACACACATAAGTTGCAGTATTTGAAGCCTAAAACCCACCTTAAGAACAAAGCCTGGAGTATCTATAATGGTGAGGTTTGGGCAGTGTGCATATTCTGCTCTCATAACTATAGGCTTTGAAGAAACTGCACTTTTAGTTTTCTTCAAAAGTGTCTCAGTTCGGGACTTAATAATATCTGCAATGGCAGATGGCAAAACAACTGGGCTTCCATATTCTTCAGAATCCTCCTCCTGTTTCAAATACTCTTAAGATCAATGTGTTGTGTAATCAAACCATTTAGCACATGAAAAATCTAATTAAAGGAAGACCAAGGGCACTACAAAAAAGTTTAAACATCCCTAGAATAACCAGACTTCAAGGTTTTAGTTGCAATAGTAAGAAACTCGTAATATGTCAAGTGTTCCTTAGAAAAACACCGAGTTGAGTTTCCAATTTCCTTTGAAACCAACACATCAGATAATTCAAGACGCTTTTTTTTTCTTTTCCATTTTTCATTTCTCTCTGTTCTTTGCTAGCTTTACAACCGAAAAGAATAAAAAAGAACAAAACAAATTCATTCAGAAACCATCCTTCCTAGTGTTGGTGTTGATCAATTTACTAACTGAGAAAATTACATCCTAAAACTCAATCCCTAGACCATGTTAAACACTTTTTTTCTGTTTTGAAGTAATTGGGTTAGTATTCCATGTTCCTAATATCACAAGGACCATAAGAAAAATCAAATCTTCAACATAATTCATTTCCCCAATTTTTCAGAAACAAAACAAAGTTCATTACACATACGCACACAATTCCACATGCACGCTTTTTTGTTGTTGTTGCTATATACTTCCAAATGTTCAAAACCTTATAAGTCCACACAAAACAAGTACACCTAAAACTCAAAGTATCATCATCATCATCACCATCAACATTACTCAGCAACCAAACAGAACCACTAAAAAAACCCTGAACGAATTATGAATACCCAAAAACAACAAAATGCAGAGCAATGAAAAAACCAAGAATGGATTAGAAAAGAACGAAGACCTGGAATCGGCAGCGTGGCTCGAGAGCGGTGGCGTCGTGGACCATTTGGAGAATGAGAGGTCTGCGAGTGCCCATCTCGACTTCGCGGACATTGAAGCGAAAGCCGAGGAGTGCTTCGAGGAGCGAGCTCTTGCCGTCCGATTGGCCTCCGAGGGCGACGATCTCCGGGATTGGGAGCTTCTCTCCGAAGGCCACCGTGGCCGCTTGGAGGCGATTGTAGGCCTCGAACCGGGACTTGGAGTTGGAGAGGGAGACCAACGAAGAAGACGACATGTCGTTTTCTGCTGTGGAACTTGGGTGGGGGTGCTTTCGAGAGTGAGATTTTCCCGATGGGGTTTTGGTCGGAGTGGTGAAGAAGGCGTTTGGGGTGGTGGACATTGCTGCACTGTGTGAGAGAGAGAGAGAGAGAGAGAGCGAGGGAAAAGTGGGGGTTGGGGGTTTTGAATTTGAATTTGAATTTTGAGGAATGAAGCCGAAGGTCGTTTATCAAGGCGCGGCGCGAGGACCCCAACGGCATGCCGTTGTTTGGTGGCTTGGGTTGGCTTCCGGGTCAAGAGATGGGCTGGATTTGGGCTTATATCTCTTGCTGCCCCAGTTAATCCTTCTTCTTCTTCTTTGTTTCTCTTTATTTGCCAAAGTTAGGAGGGACGGGTATTTTCACACACACACAAGGTGCCACAGGGACTCAAACTTGAGATCACTTATCTACAAGTCAAGGCTTTTTTTCATTATGCTAGACCTCGTTGGCTTTTTTTTAAAATACAAAATATGAGAAGAAAAAAGCTCAACAACATCAACATAATTTAAGGAAAGCGTTAAATCCATGATTATAACAAAACAAGGAAAAGCTTCCCGGGTAAGAGGAATGTTGTAACGTTACTTCCAACACCAAGATCCATGACACATGCATGACTAGTATTTTCTGGGGGGAAGAAAAAAAAAAAAAAAAAGGAGACATGAGTGCTGGTAAAGTCACCTCAACAATGCCTTTTGAAGACCCCTGTTTTACTACGAATTGATGCCTTAATTCCCACTCCAAAAGTTCTAAGGGGTAATTGAGTAAAAGCTTACTGGTGTTTTTAGATTGTGAAAAAATATATTATTGGAAGAGTCACGGAAAAAGAAAAGAAAATTGTCACCATTGTTTGTGCTTGATTTTTTTTCTTCTTTAATTCAAGAGAAAGAAGAACGGGAGTCAAACATTTTTATCGTGGATGTAATATAAAGTATTCTAAAATTAGAAGTATGAGCTCCAACCATCCTTTGCAGCTTAGACAAATTAGGGAGAGCAAGAACAGATGCATTTCATATGTGATCGATTGAGGATGGTGACGATAGGAAACGCAACCCATTCTTGGGCATGCACACAACTCCACCCCTGCTCTTGTTTCCTCTATGTTTACAATAGAGTCCCCATGGTAATAACGTAGGTAAGAGAAGAACTAATGTACATATCTAAGCACTAACCAGTTAATAAGTTAATATGACCCTAGCCGCTCATTTGAGTCCACTACACAATATATCTCATAATTCGAACGTTTAATTCTTCAGGTCGTCAATCATAGAGAGATTATCCCTACAAAGTTGCAATAAAATCAAATTACATCTAGTTATCTAATTGTGGCCATATAAATAGACAAACACAAAAAAAAAATTATTTATAAAAGAAATGTGAATTTCCTATATTATCCTCATTTAATTAATAATTTCAATTCTTAATATTTGCATTAATTAAGGGCATTTTCTGGTATTTTAAATGTTTTATCATTCTCTGACTTTTGTTTTATATGTATATAATATATACATGTATATTTTAAAAGGAAAGGCATGGTATGGTAAGTGAGTGCCAGTATCACATGCAAGTCTTGAACCAAAAAAAAAAAGTATCACATGCAAGTAGCCCAAAATAAAAAGAAGTAATTGAGTCAATACGCGTGATCTCGGTTTGATTTGGTCAGAAAATCAGAGGGCAAGAGTGCACGAGAGTGGTCAACCCTTTTGATTTTCGACGGTCGTGATTTGTTTAATCATGTTGACAAAACACTAGATTGACCAACCAGAAGTGGACACTTCAACAACCATCTCTGTACCCCACCGAGATGAAATTAGTGGGTAACGTGGCCTACTTGTGATTGAACGGACTTTCTGCCGGAATACAAGATCCCCTACATGTGTGTCTACTGTGCACTCTCCCTGCGTCTCTTTTAGCAAGCCAAGAAATTAGGAATGTTTAATTATTTCATAGTTAACTAAATTTTGTTTTATTTTCCTACATTGTATGGTGGCTTAGACATTTGTATATTTTGATAAAGATTTATGCGGTGTGGTATCACAGTAGAAAAGTGGGCAAAATTCTCCTCTCTCCTAAAGTGCACCTGAGTTCGATTTATGTAAGAGACAATCTTGAGGCAACCCAATATATTACTCCCCGCTCCCACTTCCTCGCGAGTAACAAGAAGAGAAAAAGAAAAAGAGCCATAGAGAATACCAATGGCACAACATATATACATGTATATATAGCTGTGTGTTTATGGCGTGACAATCTTATAATAATTATAGAAGTCAGCTAAGTTTGTTCCTTTGGTTTATTCAGTTTGTGTTTATGGCGTTTCTTTTGCGTTTCGTTTATGGCGTTTCTTTTGTGGCGTTTCTTGCAAGTGTTTCTCTAATCATTAAACAACATAAAATTCTTTTAATCCTTTTTAAGATAATATAAATCCTTAGTTGACAATCTAATACACGGCACAGTCACACATATGTTTTTATAATAATACATTATATATAACTAACATATTTAATTAAAGCAATAAATCCCAATGTGGGGGGTGTCAATGACAATGAGACAGCGAATGGCGGGGAATTAGGAAATTGATCTCTTTGGTTAAGTACAATCTCATGTGCTTTAACCGAATCTAATGCACTAATCATTCAATAATGCGTAACACAATTACTTATCAAAGTATAAATATATATATTTTAAGACAAAACTTGTAGCATAAAACACCCACCTCTTCCCTTGCTTCAAACTCATTGTGGCCAATAGTACCCCATTTTTGAGAGAATGGCCAACTTCCTCAAGCTCACCACCATTCTCTCCCTCATGATACCTTGGCTAGTCCTAGCTCTGCAATCTCAAATGGCCTTCTCATCATCCGATCTCGAAGACGGTGAAGAGTATGTGCTTGACTCTCCAAACCCTAGTTTCAGATCCAGAAGCAGGTTCTTGGCCAGCATCATTAAAAAAGGTGCACAATGTGATCCCATCAAGCACAACATTTGCAATGGGATTTCGGCAAACAAAGGGACCAGCATTCTCCATTGCTGCAAGACACATTGCAGAAATGTTCTTGGCGATAGGAATAATTGTGGGAAATGTGGGAACAAATGCAAGCTTGGCATGCATTGTTGCAACGGGACTTGCATCAATACTACTTTCAATGCCAACAATTGTGGCAAGTGCGGTAAAAAGTGTAAGTATGGGGTTAAATGCGAGTATGGATATTGTGGGTATGCTTAGATTGATTCATTGTTAACAAATATGATGTGATCTTCAGCTATCCTTTTTAGTGGACAGTTTAAATCGAACTCTCGTCGTGAATGTCCAAAAATAAGTGTTCTATATTGGAGCTAGAAACCCTCGATTTTGTATTATTGCTTTACTGCATGCGTGTATACGCGCAAGTTTATGTCACTCTAAATTTGCGAAGTGTGATTTTGAGTGTTAATCTCATTTTGATCAGGTTCTTAATGATTGGTTCTTGGTTTTTGTATATTTTACAACTTCAAGTAGCCTTGTATTTTCTTAAACAGCAGTCAATTATTTGGGCGTTCTTTTTCATGTTTTTTTTTTCTCTTAAATTTGTTTGCAAGAATATATATATATATATTAAACAGTATGTAAGGCCTCCTCATATTCAAGTCCCTAGCTTCTTGATATATATGCTGTGAGTTGGGTGAGGCCTCTGAAGTTTGATTGGAGGAGAGAACACTATTTCGAGTCACAAATTTTTGTTTTTGGTTTTGTAGCTAGTCACACAAACTTTATCACACTATTTCGAGTATGAATCTGTCACACAAACTTTACCCATCATATGCTATAATCAATTTACTCACCATTCACAACTTGCTTATAGCTCATTGGTCATCTGTGATAAAATTCCTTCAGCATTCACAAATTCACAATGCAGAATTTGTCAATGTGTTGCCTCCATGAAATTCAAGCAAAAGTAAAATTTAAGGATATGAAATGTCATAAACAATCCGAGATGTTGGAGAAAATCAAAATAAGGAAGTTTTCCTATTTTTTATTTCAAAAGATCATGCTAGTACAGGCATTCAAAAATTCAGAAATACAGCAACAAAGTTGATAATCATAGCAACTCAAATTCCTAACACATAAGCAGCAACTCAAATACCTAGAGCTCATCGAAACAAGCCTCAGTCCAACCAGCGCAGAGGGTGGCCCTAGGCAATAAACTAATTGAGGCCCCTTCCCTTAGTATACAATTGTAAAGAAACAACAAATAAAATGATTTTACATAGCATGTAGAGCGCGTGAATAATGATTTTACGATAAACAATTATAGAGCATAATCCTACCTGGTCAATTATAAAGCAAAGTCTAAGTCTCTTAACATCAAAGTCATTGTATGTGCATAATCTGGAAATTGAAAAAAATAGTTTGATGGATAGGAACAAATATATTTAAAAAAATTATAAATTTGATTACCTTTTCGATTTCTCATGTTCCTCCCCTCTTGTTTACCATCAATCTCAAAGATAATTTTCGAGCTTCTTAGTGTGAGATTGATTCTTAGGGTCACAATATGATATGAGAAAAAAAGAATGAGAGAAACTGAAAATAATGGATGGATTGAAGAGAGATGGGAAAACGGAGAAAATTATGGTTATTGGTGGATTAAATAGAGTTCTTCCATGGAGAAACTAGCAGAGGAATTGCCTTCCTCAAGCACATGTTGTTTATGTTTCTGCATGGGAAACGAAGAAACTTTATAGAGAAAATTATGGTGGTGGATTATTAATAGACGGGTGGATTAAATAGAGTTATTTCATGGAGAAACTAGCAGAGGAATCGCCTTCCTCAAGCACATGTTGTTTATGTTTCTACATGGGAAACGAAGAAACTTTATGTGAAGAGGAAACGAAGAAACCTAATTTAATCGTGTGTTGTTTCTGTTTTATTTTTTAATAAATTGGACAATAGTATATATATATAATATAATATATATAAAAATTTGGTGCCCCTTACTTTTTTTCTTGTTAAGTGTCACATATGCCTTCCATAGTGTGGATATGCTGATTTCATGTTGCTGCGTGTATTGGATAAAGCAATGTTTAGGTCATTGCTCATTCATTACTCATATCCTATGTCTTCAATTTCCTTCTTCTCTTTCGCAATGAAGTTTCAATGGTGTTATTGACAACATATTTTTTTCTCTTTCGCGATTGAGGGGATGAATACAAATCCATACCTAAAAGAAAGTTCAGAAAATATTAAATATGTATATGCCCTCATCAGTCCTCCAACAAGATGTAGCAATTTCAATTTATTCAAACACCCGAAATCATGTTCTTGAATAACTGAAATGGTTAAAGAGCATTAGGTGCTTTCAATTAAAATAGTTGTCCCCATCTACTTTTGGCATAACTGAAATCTGTACCATTGTCCTTGTTCTTTAAAAAAAAAAAAAAAATCCAAATATTCCTAACTATTAAAAGACAAAAAGTAAGCAGCCATGAATTTGACTTCTTTTTTTTGTTGTTACAATTGTGAATTGACTTGAAAAAAATATGAACAGCATTGTCGTGGTTGCATATAAACAAAACTCATTGACAATCTAATTTATTTGTCACAAACTCATTGACAATTTCACATGCCAATAAAACTTCAACTTCCCCAACGTGGAATATTTATCTGCAACTTGCAGCTTATATACAAGCCCTTCATCTTCCTTACCTTCCATAGTTGTCAAAAAAATGGCCAAGTTTCTTGAGCTTACCACCATTCTCTCCGTCATCATACCTTTGCTCATAGCAATGCAATTCCAAATGGCCTTCTCATCTGAGATTGAAGACGGCAAAGAATACGTGCTCGACTCTCCATTGCTGAACTTCAGATCAAGAAGTAGATTCTTGGGCAGTGTAATTAAGCAAGGTGCTAAGTGCAATCCCATTAAGAAGAACATCTGTAATGGGATTTCGGTGAACAAAGGAACAAGCCTTTTGTTTTGCTGCAAGATAAAGTGTGTCAATGTTCTTGGAGATAGGAACCACTGTGGGCAATGTGGTCGTAAGTGCAACCTTGGAGAGCTTTGCTGCCATGGAACTTGTACCAACATTTTAAACAATGTAAACAGTTGTGGCAAGTGCGATAAGAAATGCTTGCATGGAGTTAAATGTCAGCATGCAACTTGTGGGTATGCTTGAATTTATCCAAAGTTTCATGCTAAGGACATTGAAGGTAATCGAATGAATAAAAGATAGATAGCTTCTTTTGTTTTGTGTTTTTTTCTTTGTAATTAGTTGATATAGTTTTGTGCTGCATTCTTATGGAGATTGGAAAGTCGGTTTAGATTCAGGTTTTGCAAGGCAGTCTTTGATGTAATTTTCTCAGCATAAATTAACAAATAGATTTCTTGTTTTGTTTTTGGGGGATACAAACAAATAGATACTATGTATTCCATTAAAGAACGTTTTCATGTAGGGCTCTTTCTCATTACTGAGCTCCAATTTCCATAAAAGAATTTTTCCTCGGAAAAAATAAAATTCAAAATGCCTTTTCTGACCAGACGGATTTTTATTTTCTTGCTAAGATATTACATTTCTTTCCCAAACACCAAACACTAATACTCGGGGATGCCTTGTTGCATCTTTTGCTTTTTTTTGAAAAAAACAAAGAGGAAAATATCTAGCAATGAACCATGCAAGTCAAATTAAATAAACAAAATCAGAAGGATATCATGTTACAAGCACAATTTCTAAAGCTTAGATAGTATTAAAAGTGTTAATTATACGTAGTACAACAAAGTAAGTACAAAATTAATTCAATATATGGGAGGAAAATATAAATATGTACAACTTTGAACTTACAAAATAGTGCCAAACTTTGATGCAATGGAGCATATGCTTGATCTTTAGAAAGAGAACCTGTCTGGCTTTAAGTTACAAAATCGCTCATCGCAGAACTTCTTTGGGTCCATGCATACTAATGTGGCATTGGTACCCGTTTCAAAACTTACAGATAACGAATGAGCTCAACTGCAAACTTCCCCTTCTTCGTAGAGTTAATTTCTCCAATCTGAAACGAAGTACAATAAAGCATCAGAAATGCCAGGCTAAAGAACAATCCAAGAAGTATACATATCCAATTTTGGCATCAATATGGCTGACAAGTCATTTGATCAAACAGTGATTTTCTTGAATATGACAACTCACCTTCAGTCTTCCTTTACCTCTAACCGATACAATATCACCAGTCTTGAGTGTAGCTCCATTTTTGGTAACAGGGGTCCAGTTGAGGCGCACATCCCCATCACTGCACAGATAAGAAAAAACTTTAATATCATGTTTTTCACCTTTCAACACTTTAGGCCATGTGTTTGAATCATATAAATGCGTTGATGCACAGCAAATGTGATTATATTTGGGGTACGGTTCTTGTAAGTAACTAATGTAAATAAAAAACCTTGATCTTTTAGGTCTTTTACTGAAATGTAAAGGTTAAAACCCTTTTAAATGTGTGTTTAATCTTGATGGATGGAGTGCTTTAATTCTGGATTTAAAATTCCGAAGTTGGATACTTATTTTATAGTTACTTAAAGAGTCTTACTCTGTGTGTATATATTATATGTATTATAGTATGGTTCTCCTGCACAACAATAATGCACGATGTCCCTCAAAACTCATCAATCGTGTTGACTTCATTGCTTAATGAGCAAGTTGGAGGATGTGCAGTGTCTCACAATTGAAAATTGGCATATATTTCAAATTGAAGTGGAGAATGCTACAAGAATATAACAACAGAATTCCAGAAGATATGGGAGATGCAGATGAAGAAAGGCCAAAAAAAGGAAAATCCAAAGGCCCAAAAAAGTGCCAGCCAAGGGCATGCAATTACATAGACTTACAAAAGATATGGCATAATGCAGATGAAGAGTGGGGAAAAAAATAAAAAGGATATAAAGGAGCAGCCAAGTCTATGCAACAACATAAGGCTTTTTGAGTAACAGATTATGAATATTTTATAAAAGAAATATCACCATCAAACTATGCAGTAAACCAACAGCATAGGATTAACTAACTCAATAAAGCTTAATGAAATCAAAGATACTACCAATAATTGAAGGGAGAGTTCAGTATAAGTGTAGGCCGTACCGGATCAGATCAACTAGTTTTGACCGTGAAATCTTAAATCCTGCACTAGCTATAGCATCAATCCTCAGTGATAATTCTATGGCTTTAAACGACTTAGTTCTGCAAAGAGTACATAGTAAGTTACTAACTGATGCTAGATAAAAAGCATTACACATTATGAAAAAAGGATAACATAAATATGATAATTTGCGCAACCTTGGTTGTTCGTAATCAAGAGCAATCAGTGGTATCTTAGTAAGAGATACAGGAACGTTGCCAACCTGCAATTGAAAAATGCCTTACAATCATGAAATGCAAGCAGTTAAATAGTGTGATACATAGCTACATTGGACCTTTGTACCATTCTTTTTCTACTATCCATTGTTTTGTACTGTTTTATCTCCCAAATGTACATTTGCAATGATCACCAAAGAATAATAACAAATAACACAATACTTATTTCTGATGTTTTTTGAGAAAGTGAATGAGATGTAACTCATTCAACTATACTAGTTTGCATAACAGATTATTTTAATCTTACCATAGCTAATAAGGAACCAAAAGGGAAAATAAATACATCTTTTTTCCATTGATGTTAATTTGGAAGATAAGAGTATCAGGAGAAACATACTCAGAAGTTAAACAACCTTGTCGAGTGATGATATAAGATAGTCAGCAAGGTCTGGAACAACGATGACTTGAGCCCCCTTCTCCCCCTGGCAGCATTACAAAATAAATAAATAAATAAAAACTATAAACACTGATTTCAACCAGGCCATACAAGGGTATAAGTTGGAATTAGGGAATATGAATGCAATACAGACGGGTATCCTAACTGACAGCTTTAAAAGAATATTGCACTTAAGGGGGATGATATTGCAGATAAATACCTCTCTACAAAGACATTGAACAGACATGGCCCTGCTATGGCAGGACCACAGGAGCAACACTGTTTACAAATATAGAACACAGACATGAGACAGAAATCCTGACATTGCAAATTCTTAAGTAACCACTGGTAAAGTGAGGCCAAGATGACATCTGTTGATTTATATTGGCTAGTTTGGATAAAGTTTATTGTAGCTTTTTTTTTTTTTTCAAGAAGTTTATCATAGTTTACATATAAAAACATAATAATCTTTCTCTCATTGGAAACATTGACAAAGTGCTAAGTGTTTGAGACAGAATAGCAAAGTTTGTTCTTAAATAATAGAAGTGTCGCAAACACATTTTTAAGGTTTATCAGTTCTCAACAAGCATGGGGCATGGACAAGACTCCTCTGAATGTGTCCATACTAATTGGGTACTCACAAACAGAAAGTGGATGTGGTCAGAAAATCAGTTACATAAATTATAACTTCTAGAAGATAAAAGAAAAGACAAAGCTTTAAAACTAGCCTTCTTCATATTAAATGTGAATATTGACACTTGCAGTCTCTGTTTAGAAACCTCCCAGAAAAATTTAATAACATAGCAGCAACTAAAACAAGAATATAAATCGTACCTGAAAAATAACATCTCCAAACTTCTCCCTAGCAATCCCTGTACCAAGAATTGCGCCTAGGAAGTCACCATGAGAACAAGGTTGAAACCCAAAGTTTCCCGTGATACTAGAAGTAACCATCAAAGAAAAAAAATAAAAAAAAGGCTTCACATTGATTAAAAGATGGGTGATTCTAATCATAAAAATTGTAGAGATATAATATTGCTTACCTCAATGCAACAATAATATCAGGATCACTTGTCAATAGTTCTGGATGTCCAACTGAGATTCGGCACCGCTCAGCCTAGACAGTTTGAAGAAGCGAAAACATATGTTAATTAATACACAAACACTCTGATGTGCATCAGAATCAAATAGAGCTGGAACTATTTAGTTCAACCTGTGGGTATCCACCCTGAGCAACTGCTTTCAAATCAGCTAGCTTTTCCAATGCTAGCATCGACTCCTTCAACACTGGAGGGGTGAGAAAATTTGTATGGAGAACTTCCCTTCTTAATGACGCACGTCTAGCCTGCAATAAATGGAAAACAAAGATTTTAAAAAAAACCTTAGAAACATATCTACATTTTCTAGTAACAAGAAAAGCAAAACCTATGGTGAGCTTACATCCATCTGTCAATTTTCAGTGATAAATAGGCTACACTCTTATTTCGAAAGGTCCAAAAATCTGAACTTTGTAGTTCTCTCTAAAGGGACTAAGAAATAAATTTCATCTTGATAAGGTACAGCCAGCTGCTACATTTACAGAAAGGTAATACAAGTTTTCAAGTACCATCTCAAGAACATGCTTTACTTCTTCAATAACAGTTTTGTCCACCACTCCTTTAAGTAAATCATCAACATCCCTCTTAACAGCTTGAGCTAAGTGGCATATTCCTGACGCTGCATTAAGAAGAGCAATAACATATTACATACCAAATAACCGATGGTCATGCAGCTAAGTCTAGTTTAATATATGTTATGAAAAATCATTGACCAATCACACATTCAACTTATCCAACTTGAATATGCCTGATTTTTGACAAATTTTTTGCAATGCTTTAGTATCTCTGCCTTTTCAGCATTTAAGCTCAAATGTCTCTCTCTTTGCTTTTCTTTTCAATTTTTGACAACCAAATCATGCACTAGTTGGATTCGAAGTTGTTCCTTCTCATATACCCACAAATCATCCAAAAGGTAGTCAAAATTACAAGAAATTAGCACCAATACAATGGAGAGGGAAAAGCAACATCATTTATGCCTTAATAATCTCAAGTACCAAAAACGCACATTCGCACCTGAAGAACTCAAACGAGGACTGAGAGGAAAGGTGACAAGGGTCCTGTGGTAAGAGACCTTGTTGTTTATGAGAGGATGGGAGAGAGCAAAAGCCACAGCTGCTCTTCTTACCAGTGACGCTGCTACGAAACTGGTGGCAGCCATGGCCCTATGCACAATGTGCAGGCCAAGTGGGTTGACAGGAGGAGTATATGCTTCTGCCTTGTAGTGGGCTTGGGGTTTCACAAATTTTAGCCCAAACATTTTAGGACGTTTTTAAGGGCAATTCAATTGGGACTCGAAGAAACTCCCATCATTTTAATTAATATTTCTTTCCTAGACTTAAAAGTAGCAGTGGGCATGGTTTGTGTTGGGTTGGGTCTTTAGTCCCAACTCGTAACTCAAAATTCACTCATTATTAGGTCAACTCAAATTATTGTGATCGAGTTAGGCGGTTTGATTGAGTTAACTCAATATTAAATCAACTTTTAAGTTTTGGTTCCAACCCGTATCCCAACTCGTACATAGCAGTTTATAATTTTTTAAACTCAAGACTTATTCATTTTTAGGTTAACTCAACCCAACCCACTATGATCAGGTTAAACGATTCGGTGAAATTGACCCGAAATTGTCCCCACCCCTACCTAAAAGCATAGCTTTTTTGTGGGCTTTTCTCACATCCTTGCGTTCTTTATATCATCTTGATTGCATTTTTGTAGCATTTTCCATTGTTCTTGCATGACTTTATCCTAGTTATTTGAAAGAGATCTCATGAGAGTTTTTTGGTGTCATTGAATAAACAAGTACAATCATATAGAGGGGGAGAGAAAATAATTTATATATTAACACAAATATATATTTGCTAATAATCTGCGATAGTGGAGGAAACTAAAAATTTAATATTGAGGAGCCTATCCTTTTCATTATCATATCCCACTTATAGTTCAAAGAACCGGTAAGAACTAGGGATGGCAACGGGCCGAGTAGGGGCCGGGTATGGCAATACTATCCCCGTCCCCGCTTCCCAACCCCTCCCTCATCCCCATTTAAGCGGTTTTAGAGAATCTCCGTCCCCGTACCCATCGAGGGGCTATCCCCATCTTCACCTTGAATCCCTGATTTTTTGAAATGATCTCATGAAGCTTACTTACACTTCTAGAAGAAGGTGCAAACCAAATATGCTAATGAGATAAGAACTGATAATCAGCATCTATAGAAGAAACTGCAAATTAAATCCAATTACAGCATCATTGATCTATTGCACAGAAATATAGTTGTGAATCTCATGAAATTATTGTGAGTGACCATGACAGCTTTTTGGGTGGTTAAATTAGAAGTCGAAGAACAGGGTTAGGACTTTGGAGGGCAAGAAATTGTAAAGATCTATTTAAAGCAATTTCACAAAAAGTTACAATATTGATTCCAAGATACATTCGCGGAAGATGTATGAACCAACATGCCAGTCTTTTTTATTTAGCTAGAATGAAGTATTAAATATAATAATTCTTTCACTATAACACAAGGGTATTATATATATATATATATATATATGATGTATGAACCAAAATGCCAGTCTTTTTTATTTAGCTAGAATGAAGTATTAAATATAATAATTATTTCACTGTATATATATTAATTTGAAAAATGAACATATAATTATCGGGCCGGGTTTGGAGATGGGGATTCCAATACCATCCCTTACCCATACCTGACGGGGATTTTTATACTTGGGGGATCTCCGTACCTGATTCCCGTTTTTCCCCCAAATCATCACCCGTTAGGGCCGAGGACCTAGTAAGAACTTTCCTTCTTTTCCGTGCAGCAGGAGGAAGAGTGCGTTTTCTAAGAGGAGTAGGCACGACGCCTTCACGGAGCTCATGTTGCTTTTCAGCGGACTTCCCACTTCGGTCTTCATCCTTCGACAGTATATACAACTCCTAATCTAGTGGTGCTGAGGTTGGAAAGTATGGCGGTTTTACCACCTCTACAATTAGGAACATGTCACGTTGAGCTGAACAAGTTTATGCCTCAATTCAAGTTCTTCTATAGGTATCGGGTTTGGTGGTGAATTGAAGATGGGATCCGGTAGTGGTGACATTGTAATTTTCATGTTATTGTAAACCCAATGTTCACCCTCTTGCACCCAACAGAATCATATATCTCATTTACAGCCAAATTTTTTTTTTTTTTTTAAAGGGTGAATGGCGTGAGCTTTGATATTCAACTCAAACTATCGAGTTAAACAATCAATCTTTTGTGCTAGTACTGATGATGTTGTTGATAGAGAAATTCAGAGACATGCTTTCATTGAGTGCCAATCCAATTTAAGGATGGACACTGGTTTTTTTTTTTTTTTTTTGGTCAGAAGTAGGATTTCATTAACAGGCCAAAACAGCCACCAAACGAAACCAAACAAAGGAGAAAGTCCCAGACAGATAGGACGAACAAAGAAACAAAACAAAAGCAAACTGCAAGTAGTCAAACCACAGACGACGCAGAGCTGCTCTAAACGTCACCACCTGCAAGAAGCCTCCAAGCTAACTAAGGGTGAGGGCTGGGTAAACCATCCTTATTCAGAATATGCACCCTCAAAATCAATCAATGTATTCGGGTAATTAAATTAAATAAATAAAAATTAATTCGATGACAAGACTGAACCTTAAGCAAATTATAACTTACTATTACTAGAAAAAAAAAAAAAAACTTGTAATATACATTCCAAAATCAATGGACACTTTAAATTTTCTTCTTTCAATCTCCCTACCCAAGCAACCAAACAGCTAATGGGGAATGATCTTTTCTCGTCTTCTCACTAATTTCATTCACAAACATTCCCTTCTCCCCAACTCCTCCATTAAATCATCACCTTTCGCTTCATTCTACCCTATCATGGCAAAAAACTTTCTTGTAACAGGATAGCACTGTTTTGGTGTGTGTGTGTGAGAGAAATCCATCCTCCCGTGTAATTTAGATTGTACTCAAAAAACTTTATATTTTCTTAATTATGTAGAATGGATGTTACCCAACGCTTGGTTAACTCGTAAGGCGGATATGGAAGACAAAGAAGGGGGATAAGCTGGTATGAATGCCAAAAGAAGACATTGGGGGAGACTATTTCATAGATGACGAGCCGTCCAATACAAATAGGCAAATGTGAGTTAGGGCAGTTGGCTAAAACAGTGTACCCGTCTCCTTGCATCCGAATTCAACCCATTTCCCCTAATTTAGAATAGTTTGAACTCATAAATAATAAGAGCCAAAAAGTGGAGTGAACCACACCGGACTGACCAAGTCGGTTAGTGCAAAGTCGAACGGTTACCCGGTTATTTGTCCACCCTTCGTGTTACTACTTAATGGAATGTTTAATATTTAATATTTAAACATGTCAAAACAAATACGTCCTGAACATATGACATAAAAATAGAAAAAAAAATTGTCCTAAACATATGATTTTTCCTTATTCATGCAAGTTGGAGAAAAAGCATTGAGCTTTACTGATGCACTACACCTAAATCTTCAACAACATTGCAGATGCAACTAATAAGCTTAGTACATGCGGTTGGGAAGCTAGTTTTGGAGTGCATTTACCATCCCCATATTTATATTGATCTGGCTAACCCAAAAATAAAAATAAAATGGCAAAACCATTCAAGCTTATATAAAGATAACATCCATGAAAAGGGGAGAGTCAAAATTTGAAATTACATCAAGAAAAACCAAATGTATGCTTCTTCTCCATTGAAAGATAGTTTCGACTGAGCTACCACCAACATTATGAGTTTTGAGTCCATCCTGAGCCTGACACAGGATGTAAAGAACAGGAACAACTTACTTTAACTAATAGAAAGACCTAGTCATTTGCATTGCTTCTCAAGCAGAAAACTTTTAGATCTCGACTCTTCTCTACCTCAGTTCCAGTTTAACTTCCTCAAAGAAGATAGTGGTACCCAAGTGCTAGAAACAACACAACTAACAAAGCAGCAGGAGCAGCCCATAACCAATAGTTAGTACTCGACTTCTTCCGCTTCAGGATGGCCTTCGGAAGTGACTCTGTACCTCTTGGACGACCTCTATTCCTCATATTGCTATCCTTTTGCACCTTAGCCTTTGCCAGGACAGGAGCTTCAACATTTTCAGTTACCTTTTCTGGTTCTGCAGCCTCAGCAACTGCTTCTGTCGGCTCCTCAGGTTGGGTCTCAGGTGCAGATGAACCCTTCTTCTTTGCCTTCTTTTCACGCTCCTGAGTCAAGTTGAATACTAGTGTCAGTTTCTAACTCCAAGCAGATTAACAAAGAGAAAGTAACAAGAATAAACAAATAAATAAATAATTTCCTTAAGCTTCTTTTCAGCCTTTTCAACTTCCTTTTGAGCTCTAATAGCTGCTTTAGCTGCATCTTTCTCTGCTTTCTTCTTCTTCCTTTCCAAGGCCTGCTTATTTTTTTCAATTTCCTCTTGTCTTTTCAACTCCTTCAACTTTTCTGCATCAACTTTATTGTCTTTTGGGGTACTCTCCTTTGTCTGCTTTTCAAGCCCAGATATATCCTCGTCTGCTACGTCAATATGCTCTTCAACAGATTTCGGACCCGTTGCTTTATTTTTGGCATCTTTCTGAGCCTTCTGCACAGGCAAAGTATCCGGTGGAGCAGATCTGGTATCTTCCCTAACTTGTTTTGAATTAGCTTTTGATGCTGTCTCTACTGCAGGGGCTCCAGATGCTTCCACAACTACCAATGGCTTCTCATCTGGGTTTCTTATACGCCCATCCCTACTCATTTGCCGCCTGTCCAGAGCTGGCAAAATTCTTTTCTCATAATCATCTCTAAAATCCTTGTTACTGTTCCAGAGGGACATAAATTTCTCAACCTAATTAAAAAAAAAAAAAAAAAATTAGAATGCAGCTTCTACATTGATAATGGTGGAGTTAACTTATTATAAACAATGAAAATATTCATTTTGCAATTGGCAAACCTCTGCATGAGAAAGTTCTTCAAGTGCTTTAATATCTTTCGAAACAGCAAGATTTCTCGCTTTGGTCAAAAGCACACGGCTTTGGTAAAAGCAGGCATTCTGAAAATCAGTGCAAATTAATTAAAGGGTGACTATCACATACATAGATAAAATACAACCATTCATGTCAGAAGGGTAACTTAATGATGTGGGCATTAAGAAAATACCACTTTGGCATGCCTACAAT